GATGAACCTCCATACTTTAGACTACCCAGATAATGTTCGAATAAAACAGTTCAAGTATTAACTAGTAGATCCCCTTATCCATAAATCAGGAACAATTATATTTTCCAGTGAAAAAAGGTAATTAAAGAACACATATCATGTAGCCATAATTTAATTAAAAGTAAATCAAAACATCAGTAATATGAAATTTCAGAAAATCACGTTTTAAAACAGGTAAAACATTTACATGTCACATAAGGAACACACTAGAGGATCCATATATTCTTCGGAGGTACTTGGTATTTTTCAGGTAAAGGACAATGCAACTTTTTTATTTTAATAGGATTTTTAGAATCAAGATCCCTATAAAAATGGGATTGATAACTAACAAAGTTATCAATCATTCAGGAAGTGATTTAGCAAAACCATATATTATTTAGGTATTTTTTGGAGACATTAAGTAATCAGGAAAGTACTTAAAATCTTTTGCATCAGTGTTACTTAAGATTTCAAATATGACGGAGTGATTCCATTATTCAGGAAATTGGGGCATTTTGGACATTTGGTTTTTAGAGAATTCTTAGTAATTTATTCTAATCAAGGTGAAACGATGATTAATGATAATTATGATTCATGTTGATTTATCAGGATATAAAGTTAACTCAAACTGAACAAATCCTAGCATTGTGATACCTGCCAACCAGTCAAACCAATGAGCTTCAAGGATATTTACACTTTAATACTGACATCACTAGCCGAACTGATCATCTAAAAAATCATCGTTGAATGGATCTTAGGAAGATGAACAAGTATTCCCTCCCTAGTATTGATTGCACTAGTTGAACGAACCTCCTTTATAATCAATATCAACTAGATCTTCACATGATGAACCAATAAATCAGTGGTGATTAATTTATTCATAAATTACAACAATATCCACTTATTTTAAGTTGTTAAAAAAAGGTCGCTTCAATAATCGAAGTTAATTCGACCATATTAGACTTCAAGGTATTATGGTTCCTTTAGAGTTCAAGGTATTTTGGTCATTTCAACATTGAAGGTTAATTTAGTTATTTCGCATCTCGAGGACATTTCAATAATTCATCAATCCAAACATATGTACCTTTTCTGGTAATTTGGTTAGATATATGTTCAGTATTATTTTTCACTTTTAAGGGTAATCTTGGTCTTTTTGCAAATAAAGGGCATTTTAGTCCAGTCTTTCCATTTAATTCAATTTTTTTCAAATAATTCAAACCTGAATAGTACTTTCAATATTTTTGTCTTTAGATGCTTGCTGATAATCAACAATTATAGGTCTTGTACCCTCTCGAATGTTATGATATGATTATCAGTAACTATCAGAGTAGATCGTGAATTTAATCGGTGATTCTAAGGTTTAAGTTGATCAAAATATGAGTTCTCAGCTCGTCTCTATTATCATAGCCATCCATAGTTTTTTACACATTAAGGGAATTATTGTCATTCCATTCAATTCTATATGTGGCATTACTTATGATAAATTAGGCTTTAAGTGTTTATTCAAGAATTAGAATTTATATATCTTGTACCTTTTTCTGAGGTTTAAAACTGATTATAAAATATTTTCCAAACAAATTAAGAATTAACAGGTGCGTCATTAATTTTATCGAGTCAAAATACAAATTCTCGGGGCAACTTCACTATAAGGGTCAATACATACCATTTTTACAACTTAAGGGTATTTTCATAATTTCTTATGCATGTATATCTGACATTTAACCTTTAAAGAAAATAATCAAAGTTTAAGGATCTTGAATTCAGTATTTACTGATTAATCATTGAACTTGAATTTATTTCTTATCTATCTTCTAATTTCTTACGTGAGTTATTTGAGTCTTATACGACTTACTACCTTCTTATCGTAATAATACCGGGTTTACCTCAATCAATGATATACATAAGATCAATCGAACTCATTCATGTATTTACCAACTATAAATGTGTATCATACAACATACGAAAGGTAGTAAAGTATTACCTCGATTTATGAGCTATATCGATCACCCTCTAACTTTAATTCCACGTCCCATAATGTCTTAAATATATAGAAAACGAATTTACGTCAGAAACTGAACTTAATCGAAAAACCAAATTGAATCTGAAATGCAAACTTTGAAAAAAGTCTTACCGAGTGTGAATTTAGCAAAACGAACTTCAGAATCAGATTCATGATGTCGAAAAACATAAAATATGATTTTTCAAAATTTTTGACTTTTAGGGTCAAAGTCAACGAGTTAAAGTCAATAGGTTGACTCATACGAGTTGACTTTGTTCGGGTTGGCTCGGTCGGGTCAAACAAACCTGATTCAGACTGGGTTGGGTCGGTCTAGACCGACTGGATCGGTTCTAGAAGGTTTCCTGGAATGTGGAAGAGCCTCACATGCACTGTAGGCGCATGGCGGTGCGTTCTACAGTTATTGAAGGTCGAGGTGATCGACCGATTCTGTCGGGAGCATCTACACACCATTATCAAGCAAAACCAACTTAAAAATCAGCCAAAACCATTGGAATTTAAAACAAAATGTTGAAAAGCTTACCCACGCCAGCAGCTGGACGAAAGCAATGTCGTTGACGTGACCGATCTGTCGAGTTTTAATCGGAATCATGCAAAGATGACGATGGCGAGGGCAATGTGGTGAGTCAATAAGTGAGGTAGCTTGAATCGACGAAAAACCAAATAGTGGGGGTTGGAAATGACGAAGCTTCAAGTAATGATTCACGCTGATTGACTTTGATTCACTGTGCAATGGGACTTGAGTCTTGGATACCGGTCGACGATGATTCAAACGGGGGTAGTAGAGGGTCGAAAGGTGGCCGGTCGGTGAGGATTGTAAGAGCCGACGGGGTATGCAACGACTAGGGTAAATAATTTGGGAATAATTTTAGTGTTTGGCTTGCTCAACCAGGGGGATTTATTTTTCATTGAACTAAAAAAATGGGATAATTCATGGTTAAGTTTCTGAACTTCCCACATGTTCCAAAATCGAGCTGTAAACTTTTAAAAATTTAAAATTTGGTCCTCAACTTTTCTCTTGTTGCGACTTTAATTCGATACTTTAAATTAATAAAATCTAGCCCCTAAATTGGGGTATGAAAGATCTAGTATGAAGACTATGCATGTTCAGTTCTGATCAAGTTAGTAATTCCTTATATAGGTTCAACACCGATCAGTTGATAATTCCTTATGGACCTAAGGTGACCCTTGGGTGGGCTCCTGGGCTCAATGGGCCTAGTGGTAAGACCTTATGGACCCTAAGATACTCCCTTCGAGTGGCACCACTGCTATGTGCTTTGGGTAAGTCCTTATGGGCCTAAGGGCATACCCCTCAGGTGGGCACCTACGCTTTGGCTAGGGCAAGAACTTATGGACCCAAGGTGCTCCCTTAGGTTGGCACCTACGCCCTTTGTGCGTAGGGTAAGTCCTTATGTATGCAATTATGGGGAATTGCATATGGTGCACGGTTGGAGGATGATTCCGTATTTTTTTCAAATTAAAATCTATATTGACTTTTTCATAACTTGGAACTAAACTGTTTTGGAAACTTATATGTATGTTTTATTTATGCACTGTTGGAACATACTGAGCTCCCTAGCTCACTTCCCCAAACTTTTCCTTTCAGATACTTTTTGATAGACGACCCAGATCTGGCACTTGGAGGATCGACACATTCGTACAATACCTTTTGTTGTAATGTTTTTATCGTCCAAGTTGCATTTATTTTTGGGTGGCATGTGCTTACATTTTGAAAATATTTGTTCTACGATATTTACTGTTCTTGTTATTGATGTTAGATTTGTTTTTTTACTGATGTTGAAATATTTTATTTTACTTAGTCTTTACAACCTTAATTTACTGGAATTCAACTTAGATGTTATCAACTATATTTTTAAAGAGGTTTATCAGTAATATGGTCTTAAATGTATTGAATTTTTTTTAGAAAACTTTATTGTAATCTGCTAGATATGGTCGTAACGCATAGGCCGAGTCTATGGGTTAGACAAATCGTGCCATTTTTTGTAATAATATGATATGACCCCTCGTTTGAAGATGTTTCTGATTGATTTTCTCATAAAAATTAGAGTAATTGAAAAGAAACAAAAAGAAATAAAAAAAATTGTTTGAATTTCTTCTTTGAAATGTTACTATTTTTTTACCTATATTTTTTATGAATCAAGATTGAAGATAATTTTTGATATTCAAGGTTGAAGATAGTAAAAGTTGGTGATGATTTATGAATTATTTCGATTCATATTCTTCTTCTTCTTCTCTCTTTGAAATATTGTGACTCCAACATTTTATTTTTGGAGAAAAAAACCTCTCCATAGATGAAAATCGTTAATCAACAAACGATTAATGTTCTAAAATAAGGATCATTTTATTCTAAAATGATATGTTAAGAGTTAAAATACTCCAAAAGAAAAAATAATAAATACTATAATAATTATTTACTCAAACCATTAGAGACCTTCTCCCCAAAATAAAATGTTAAGAGTAAAAAATATTCTAATAAAAAAAGATATCATAATAATTATTTAGTCAAACCATTAGAGAGCTTTTTGCCCTAAAATGAAACATAAAGACCAAAATACTCTAAAAATATATAGATCAAAATAACTATTTAATCAAATATTAGAGATATTTTTTTGACAATATGCAAGCTTTAACTGTACCATTTAAATTATACATAATCATCTGGCATACGATTTAGAAGATTATAAACAGCAGCGGATGTAGTTGTTCAGGGTGGGCACATGCCTATCATTAAATTCGAATTTCTTTATATTAGTTATTCATTTTATTATTGGTGTCCACTTTGAAATTTTATTTGTGCTTACTCATACCATAAATTTCTATTAGTAATATATATGTGTTCATCTTAAAAAATATTCCTGAATCGGCTACTAATTACAAAAATACGTAAACATTAATAGACTTTTATGCAACAAATCTTATTATACATCCCTGCCCTCCTTGTTTTCTATTTATATACAGGGGATTGCATCCTCAAAGCGAAGAAAATATGGGAACACCGCGCAAGGTAGCCCCAGCATCGACGATGAATATATTGCCGGATACGTACTCCGAATGTTCTTGGGGGAACCTTTCTCTCGGCCACTTTTGTTAACCAGTCCTTGATTATGTTGATTATGGATCCTCCTTGATTTGCATCGCGCATGTGCGTCGCAACATACTTTGGCACCAACCAAGACCCTGTTAAATTGGTTCTAATATTCTGATTCCATTCCTCCTCTGAAAATTCCAAAGGACTCTTCACCTGACCTGCAAATACTTGCAATAGTTGCAAATGATGAAGAAATTTCCAACACGATGATTACGAATTGAACAAAAGGAGCATAAAAAAATTGGCAGGTAAAGGATATAAATGGTCCCGGCTATAAGATACTATATTTTGTTGAGTTTTTCAATTATTAAAAGTTATAAATTGATCTCTCGGTAATATTTACTGTTTTTAGTCTCCCACTATTAAAAATTAAAAAATGCTCATTTAACTATTCATATATTTTAAACTCGTTAACCTATTGATATGATAAAATTATATTTTAACGATGTCTATTGGCACTACCATTGCTTTAAAACACTAATTCGACAACATAATATTTCAAGTACTGGGTCGACAATATAATGTAAACAAATATTCGATCCACAAAGTACAACTCAAATAGTTCTGAGATCAGATTTTTTTCATATCATAGTGAGCAAGTTAATGTCAAACTTAGACTGTTTTCAATTTTTTAAACGAAAAATGACGATTTTATGCATATGAATAGTAGAATAATTATTTTGTAACTTTTAATAATTAGAAGACTGAACAAAACACCTTATAATCGAAGAATTATTTTATAACTTTCAGTGGTCGAGAGACTCAAAAAGTAATATTCTATAATCGAGCCATCATTTGTTTATTTTATCCAACATTTTAAAATAAACTATAAAATGAAGTACCTCTAATGCCAGCGTTGTTTATTAAACCATCGATCCTCCCAAAGGCATCCCAAGTTGCTTTCACGGAACTCTGTATGGTGGCTCCATCAGCACATACATCAAGCTCAACGGAAACAGTTCGAGGGCCACTAGACTGGGGTTCAGGAAAGCTGAAGCAATTGATATCACCAGAGGGATTTAATGCGATCAACACGGCGTGCGGCAGCCACAATACGACAGCCGGCTTTAGCCAAGTCGAGACAAAAATCACGACCTAAGCCGGAAGATGCCCCCGTCACCATCACCACTTTGCCGCTGAGGTCGGTCCATGGCTCTAGTTGCTGCTGCTCCGCATTCCCAAGAACAGAATGGATGCCGAAACAATCTAGGAAAAGGTGGAAATCGAAGGATACCAAAATAATCTAAAACCACTATTCTACTCGTAACCAATCTTTCTTCAATCTATCACCCAATTCTTGTAGAGATCAAATACAAGTAAAGTTTTGATTGGTTGTGTTGTAACCATTTTTTAAACAATTAAGTTTTTTTAAAAAATTATGATTTTCTTTGAAAATTTAGCAATTTTTCAATTAATTTGAATTAAATTAAACAGGAGTCGCCATCGACCTTTAGGCTAAATAGGTTGAATACCTGAAAACGTCTTTTAAAATAATTTTAAGGAAAAATGGTTTTTTAAGACAAAGATTGATATGTTTTTACCAAAAACTCGACTGAACGAGTCCGAGAGTGTTACGCGTGGGGAAGGATAAGCACCCCCACAGTGTCCAAAATTGGTACTTATTCGCTTACATATCGTCGTAAATGGTGAAAATTGTGAATTCATATCAATATTTAAATTACGATCATTTTATTGAACATCAAATAATTTGCTTCGAATTAATTATTATAGAACATTCCTTAATTTGAGAAGAAATCACGAGATTTGGACATCCTCCAATAGGAAGACTATCCCATTTATTTATCCTTTATACGAGAAATGTCCCCTCTCCAACGTTATAAAAAACACAAATCAAATATAAATCAACTATCGATAATTGCATAAAATAAATTACTATTTAAAGAAACACACATTGCTTCATTGGAATAAAAATGAATTATTTTTCATTTAAAAAAAAATAAACTCGATTTATTTCAAGTTCACATTTAGTTCGAATGTCGTATAGTATCACACTACTTCGACCAAACAATGCTTTCCACGCCCATTCTACGACCAATATTCTCGAAAATGTTCGAATAAACCACTAAAAAATATCAAAGATAAGGGATACACATAACGTTACCAAAAGAACATTTCATAAATCATATTAAAACAAATAAGATAAAAACATAAAGGTGAACATTATGTAAACATACAAGATTAAGAAGTATTGAATAAATATAAATATGTAAAATTTAGTCTAATGTATGATAATACTAAAACATATATTATAAAAAAGGTAGAAAATTAAATTACACAATTAATTAATCTGTTCTAGAAAGAATAATACAAATTAAACGAGAAAAAAAATAAATAAACAAGGGACTAAATCATGAAGAGGAAAAAATAATAAAATTAAATTAATTGACTAACCATGAAATTTCATATTCAAACCAAAAATAGTGACTAGAATGAATATTACAGAAAAATAAAAGATCCAGCTAAAAACGTGCATTTACACAGGAAACAACAATGGGTTAAAATGAATTGAATTATAAGCTACCAGCCAAAATCATAAACTAAACCAAAATAAACGTCACATAAAAAGGATTAAAATGCATTAAATCATAAATTAATAAACATAACTCGCATTTTTCCCAAACCAAACAATAAACAGATAATGACCGAAATATAAATATAATAAGATCCAAAGCTTAAAACAAAACAAGAAAAAGTTTCATTTGATGACCAAAATGAGAAGTTATAAGGCGAAAAGGTCCCGAATGGGATTAACCCAAGCACCAAACACATAATTTTCCCTTCCCTAAAATGACGTCGTTTTATATATAATATAAATGGTTAACACTCGAGCCTAAACCAGCCAACCAATCCTTATTTTTCATTTCTATTTTCTCTTTCGAGAGAAAACTCTCTTACACTTCCTTCTCCCCAGTCCCCCGCCGAGGAAGTAAACCGTAACTCCCTGGCCACCGTAGATCGGTGACCACGGGAGTAAAACATCTCAAGAGCCCCTATATTTTTTAATCCTCTTATCTTATTGTCCTCTACGTCTCTCTAAAAACCTAAAAAAACTAAACCCCAAAAATAAATCCCAAGAAAAATGAGTTATTTACCTTTGGAGATGGGGTTCTTCAGTCCGATGAAACAACAGTTGACGATCTGGGTAAGGATTACTTTCTTGTTTTGCTCTTTTTTTGGTTCGAAGGTTTTTTTTTCCAATTATTTCGTTCTGGTTTTTCCCCTCTTTTCTTTTTTCCTCTCTGTTTAGTTCACTGCTTAGTATGAATCCCCATTGTAAATGTTGCTTGCCTCTCTCCTTTAATCTGCTTGCAAGTGATGGTTTGATGAAGACTTATGCTACTACCGAGAAGATACGGTATGATTACCGTATTTTTGACTTGTTACAGGGCCATATTTGTCTCGGGATTTTATTTTGGATTTGTTCTTATTTTTATTGGGGTTTTAGACTTATTTGGTTGATTTACTTGATTGGGGTTGTTTTCTATTACTATTGATAATGATGGCGGTTCAGGGAGCTTTTGGCTATGGCTCACGTGACTGGGGTGATGGATGGTGAAGCGCACACGCCGGTCGTTGGCTGCTCATTGCTGACAGCAGCGGCTGGTTGATATTTAAGGTTAAAACCCTAAGTTTTAGGCGATTTGGACTGTTGGATAGGTTTAGATCCAACGGTTAGCGTTGAAGGTGGCGATGGGTAGAGAATAAACCCTAATTGGGGTTGGGTTCTCATATTTGATATGATCTTGGGCTTCAGGTCGGGTTGATTATAATCGGTTAGGCCTGTAGGTATGCTTTCTCTTGGGCCTAGTGGTATTGGGCCCTATTTAGGGTACTGTTGAGTGTGTTTGTAATTGGATCTTTGTTGTTATAACCTGAAAATAATAACAGAAATAATAATAATAATAATAATAATAATAATAATAATAATACTAGTAATAATAATAATAATAATAACAATAATAATAATAAACAATTAAAAGATGGACACAAGTGGATATCTACAGCTGCCTCTATTTGTCCATTCTTGTGTTAAAAACAATATGGAAAAGACAACAAGATAATGAGTTTTTGTCTGGTTCTCTCTTTGATGTTAAAGACGACAATGGTCATCCATGTTGAAGATATCTAGCCAGTTTTAGATAATTCGCTGAAGATGACGATGTTCCTTCTCGCTAAGGAAATATGGTCAATCCGAAGATAATAGGGTGTTAGAGATGACACTTCTTATTCCTGTTGAATAGTTCTGGCCGTTTTCAGGTAAATTGTTTGTTGAAGATGACGTTGTTTCTTCTCGTTGAGGAAATTGGGTCAATCTGGAGATGATTTTGGAGATAACAGGGTTCTTACGCATTGAGGAAGTCAGATTGTCTAAGGATGACACAACTCTTTCGTGTTGAGGAGATTTGGTCGGTGGATGACATTGTTCTTACGTGATGAGGACGTATAGCCATATTTAAGGATAATTTAGAGACAACACGATTCCTACGTGATGAGGAAGTCTGATTGTCTAAGGATGACGATGTTCCTATGCCATGAGGAGATCTGGTTAGTGGACGACATTGTTCCTACGTGATGAGGACATCTAGCCGTCTTTAGGGATAATTTGGAGACAACAAGGTTCCTACATGATGAGCAAGTCTGATTGTCTGAGGGTGACACTGCTCCTTCATTTTGAGGAGATCTGGTCGGTAACCAATGATTGGCTTGAAATGAAATCTTCTTTTCTAACATGGAATTGTGGAATAAATTCTTTGCCAACGTTGAATTACTATAATATATTTGAATGAAAATAAATGAGTGGAAATTTTTGTTTTAAGAGAAGCTATCTTAGGTGAGATAAAATTTTGTTTCGAGTAAAACATTTAAAAATTTACGTTTAAAGGGAAAACAATGTCAAGCGATATGAAACTTGTTTTTAAGAAAAACAATCTCATGTGAGATCAATTTTTCTTTTGGTGCAAAAATTTCAAAATTTGTGGAAAATTGTCTCAAGCAAGACAAAATTTGTTTCAAGAGAAATAATCTAAAGGATTTTTGTTTCAACAGAAATTGTCTCAAGTGAGACGAAACTTTGTTTCGTCAAAGGTTTATTTTTCAAGAGAAATTGCCTCAAGTGAGACAAAACTTTGTTTCGAGAGAAACAATATCAAAGGTTTACGTTTCAAGAGAATTTGTCTCAAGCGAGATAACACTTGTTTCAAGATAAACAATATCAAAGGTTTATGTTTCAAGAGAAATTGTCTCAAGCGAGATAACATTTGTTTCAAGAGAAACAATCTAAAAGGTTTTATGTTTCAAGAGAACTGTCTCTAGCGAGACAAAACTTTGTTTCGAGTGAAACAATATCAAAGGTTTATGTTTCAAGAGAAAATGTCTCAAGCGAGACAAAACTTTGTTTCGAGAGAAGCAATCTCAAATGTTTATGTTTCAAGAGAAATTGTCTCAAGCGATACAAAACTTTGTTTCGAGAGAAACAATCTCAAAGGTTTATGTTTCAACAGAAATTGTCTCAAACGAGACAAAACTTTGTTACGAGAGAAACAATCTCAAAGGGTTATGTTTCAAGAGAAACTGTCTCAAGTGAGACAAAACTTATTTTAGGAAAATTATCTCAAGCGAGATCAATTTTGTTTCAAGTGAAACAATTTCAAAATTTGTGTTTCGTGGGAAAATTGTCTCAAGTGAGATGAATTTTTTTTGGAAAGAAACAATATCAAGTGAGATTAATTTTATTTCAAGTGAAACAATTTCAAAATTTGCATCTGAAGGGAAACCTGTTTCAAGTGAGAATGATAACTGTCGTTTTGCAATCAAAATAATTCTGGCTTCTTAAAAATAAAAAGTAAAAGTAGTATAGAGAAGCAGGGTCGATCCACAGCGACTATGGTTTTTGTGATTTAGTAAAACTCTTTGATTTAGAGGAGGATAGAATTCCAGATGAAATTTGAAATAAAATAATATAAATAATTATAATTTAAAAAGAAAAAATAATAAAATAAGTAATAATGAATAAAAAAGAGAAAAATAATAAAATAATAAATAATAATAGTAAAGATAAAAAGGGGTTTTTAAAAGTTGTTTTTAAAATAAAAGATAAGTGTTGAGTTAATCGATCGACGGAATCGGCCAAGAGGGGGGTGAATTGGCAATTAAAAATTTCGTGGAAGCTTTTGCAGAAAAATTGAAAGTAATTGCACAACGATTTACAGTGGTTCGACTTTCTCAAACAAAGTCTACGTCCACTACCTTAGCTATCCACACTAAGGATTTTCCAACAAATTCACTAATTTGTTCTTTCTTTTGAGGCCAAAGAGATAACCTTACAAAATCCCTCAAGAGTATACCCCAACTCTTGAGAACACTCTTTTTCCCAAAGAGAAGATTACAAATTTGCAAACTTACAAGAAAACCTCACAAGGTAAGATGTTTGCACAATTCTAGAACAAGAAAAGAACACTCAAAGATAATTACAAATGAGCACAAATGGTGTTCTTGAAAGCAAAATGAATATTGAAAGGAAAATTGGCTTGATTTGCACAAACTTGGTGTTTGATGCTTTCTCTCTTGTTTCTCTATGATTTCTTGTTGATCAAGGGCTTCAGAACTTGTTTAAATACACCTTGAATCTCTTCTGAACGTTGGGGATGATTAGTGAAGATCATATAGCCGTTTTAGTGTGAAAACAATTAATAAAACAGTTTGGAGCGTGGGGGGAATCGGTACCCCCTATGGGGAATCGGTTCCCTAAGTGTAAAATTCAAATATTTCGACCGTTGAACAGGGGGGAATCGGTACCCCCTATGTGGGAATCGGTTCCCTCCGAGCATTCTGGAAATCTCAGAGCCAAACCATTCAGGGGGGAATCGGTACCCCCTAGGGGGGAATCGGTTCCCTCTGAGCAATCTGGAATTTTTGGCTTTGAAATGGTTCGAAATACTTTGAAACATTATTTTGAAATTGTTTTAAGATTAAAACTTAATTTTACACTTAAGTAAGGATTAAAAATGATTTTTGAAATATTTTGAGTAATGTTTTGATATTCGAATAATTATATCAAATATACTTAGAAAATCATTTTGGAAAATCTTAAAATTCATTTAACTTAATTTGTTATATCGAAATATCAAAATGTTTACAACAATCTCCCCCTTCTTGATATAATAAAACATTTTAGTAATTTTAAGATTTTGAAATCAAGTTTTGAAACTACTCCCCCTTACTTTAACACTTTTCCCATTTATCATCTTAAAAACAAACTTAAAACACACTTCTCCCCCTTTTTGTTCAATCAAAAAGATTCAAATAAATGTGAAAAATATTAAGCCAATTGATTAGGTATATGTATGCATAAGCTGCTAAGATCACAATCAAGAGAACCGTTAGCCATTAATTCCGTAATCAATATTCATAAATAATGTGATATGGCAAAATTGGTCATATTGCTAATAATGATGTAAATGATGCAATAATAAATAAATCACACCAAACATATAAGTTCAAACCATCCATAAATCCAAACAAATTCACAATCCTCAAATTCAAACATCCTAAAATATTCAAAATGTTAAAACAATAAGTTTGGAAAACAAAGTAAAACATTTAATCATATATCCGGATTAGGAGGAGGAAAACGAGCTCGCATAGCGGCCATTTCGTTAGTGAGGTCATTAATACGTATGTTGGTTGCTTCATTATTTGCACGCATTTCTCGAAGAATTTCTAATTGTTGAGCTCCCATTGTGGATAAATGGGACTCTATAGAAATAAAGCATGAATCCATGGTCGCATATCGGTAATCAAATGTCTCCATAAAAGATTGAAAATATGGAGGCATTTGAGTCGATTGTTGTGCTTGCTCTTCGGGCTGCTCCTCGGCCTGCTCAGGTTCAGCTTCAGCTTCATCGATGTCTCGCATTAGTTGCTCAAGTTCGAGATCTTCGTCAGCTTCGGGTGGAGCTTGTGAAGAACTAGCTCCCGGA